TAAGATAACTGCAGATGACCCAATTATGGTAGAAAGTATGACATTGAGGGAATGGGTGTATCCCTGTTACTGTTATTTATTCTGGATTTCCCCCTTCCCCCCAAAATCCTAAATAATGCCAAACTGGAGATTTACAGTCTCTTCTTCTTTTAAAATCACATTATGATCTATGTGATCCTACACAACTTCTAAGGGGATTTAACAAGACTCTAAAAGTTAAGTTGGTCCAATCCCATCTCATTGATCTCTGAGCTCATCTGTCTCTGTATGTTTGCCTTAAGCAACAGCAGAAAACTAAGAAATGTCCAGACATCAGATACAATCCTGCAAGTCATCACATTTTTAAAGCATTGTAATAACAAAGCAAATAAAACTCAAAGGTTCAGATTTATATACATTTGATAAAATGTGCTTTAAAGTATGACATCAGGACACTCTTTATAACACACTACTCTTAACAGTGACTGTAGACAGAAGGACTGGCAACAATAAAAGTTACACAGATTTTTTAAACATACAAAAATAATGTTACACACACCATTCACAGAAACTAGATGACTCCACAAGCAACAAAACAGAAATTCAAACATTTAGAAAATGTTTATACTGCAAAGGCAATGATGGCTGAAGAATCATGTCAATGTACAGTCATCTTTGTTTTTCAAGAATTAGCTTTTTCAACGTTAGACTGCCTTTAAAAATCATGGCTTTACAATATTTTCTTAGATTCCAATTGTACTGCAAAGCATGACTGTTTTCTCACTAGTTCTGGTCACACGGTCTGCTGGTGGTGCATGATCATGTGTAGTCATAGAGTCATAGGGCCGAAGCAGACTGATGGCTTGGAGCAGCCTCAGAACGACTTCCAGCCGCATTGGGGCGTGCATCATCTGCCGCACCTTTTGGCCCATCTGTTTTGGGCAACAGAATTTAAGTCCAAGCCCCTGCTCAAAGCAGGATCTCCAGCTAAATCATCCCCAGCAGGTAGCTGTCCAGCCACTTTTTGAAGACATTCAGAGGAGGAGGCCCCATCACATCTGTAGCCAATTGGTTCTTTTGTTGAACCCAGGGGTAGGCAACATTTCTTCTTTAAGGGCCGAGGGACTTCAGCTCCCAGAATCCCAGGAGC